CCACAGGTGGTGCCAACGAGGGCGAACCGGCACCCGCTGCTCAGTCAGTCCCAGTCAGGGGGTCCCCACCGTGCCCAGGGGCCCCTCCCAGGCTCCAGCCCAGTTTCCCTGGACCCTCAGGCCTGACCTTAAAGAGCTCGCGGGGGAACAGGTAGCTGCCCTCCCACCTGGGCTTCTCCAGGGGGTGTGCTCCTTCCAGCTGCACAAACTTCATGAGCGTGCTGAGGGCCAGCTCCTGGGCAGTGTGCGGCAGAGTCACGATGGCAGAGCCGTGATGCCTTGGCCGACAAGGCCCCTGAGCCCAGCCAAGCCCAGCGCTGGAGCAGGGGGACTCCACCCTCGCCACTCCACGGACACCAGTGCAGCTCTGGGCTGACACAATGCAGCCCGCTTGTGACACGCGGCCCCGAGGTGGCCAGTGCAGTGCTCAGAGTGGGCCTGCCGGGGGGCAGACGGCTGACCGTGCACCCATCCATCTGCGAGAATGCTGCCGTAGCCCGGCCGGCACACACGCAGGTGTGGGCGGCAGACTGGGCCCAGCAGCTCTAGTACCAGGCTTGACCTGGGCTGCAGACCCAAGGCCTCAAGGACCTGCTGACAGCACGCTGTGTGAAACAGGCACGTGTGGGACAACAGGGTGCAGCGGGGCCCACAGCACGAGAAGCCCACCTAGGACCCTCGAGTTCTCCCTGGAGCCGACGGCTGTGTGGACACAGGCCAGCGTCGACACTGTCGTACCCGTGAGGGGCCGGGCGGACACCTCTCGTGATGTTCCCTGACCATTAAAAGCCAGTGACTTGGCTGTGGCCAAAAGCAGGTGCGTCTGCGAGGACGTGGCGTGGGAGCCTTGTGTGTGGCCACGTGAGTGTCACGGCCCAGCTGCGGAGGACGTGGCCGGCATGCTCGAGGTAAACGTGCAGCTCATCGCCCTACCGCAGCACAGCCCCACGATGGGGTACCAGCGGAGCAAGCCGCCCACGTGTGGCCTGGACCCACGTGCACCCCGCTGCCCTACCCGAGAGCCGAGGGGACCACCCCACAAACCTCGGGATCCCAGAAAAACACGCCCATGGAGACAGTGAGGGTGGGTGCCCGGGACTGGGCTGTGGACCAGGGTGGCTGCAGAAGCCGACTGCCCACAGACCATGTGGGTCTCTCTCTGGGTAGCGAAGCCGTCCTGGGATTAGCCGGTGACAATCACGTGACTTCGTGAGCATGGGAAGCAACACGCATCAATGTGCTTTTGGGGACGGGATGTACATGTCGGCACCACCTCGATGAGGCAGGCCGTCGGGAAAGCTGGTGACATGACCCTGTGGCCGTGGACAGCTGTGGGAACAGGACACACCTGGCAGTAGGCACGGCCCCAGCGGTGGACACACAGCCAATGCACCAAGCCCAGTCCTGACACCACTATGGCGGCTGGCAGCTCTGAGCGTTCCCCTCTGACAGCCGTGGGTCACCTGGTGACCGAGTGCCTCGATGAGTGGGGGACAAAACGAGGCCACCTGCCAGAACTCAACCAAAGGACCCGCCCATAGCTCCAGGCCACTGCTCTGCAGAGACCTGGGAGAAGCTGTGGGGACAGGAGAGAGACGAAGTCCCCACCCTGACACTCACCTTGACCTGGAAGGAGGGGTGGGCCAGGAGCTCCACCAGGCGGCGGCAGCAGCTGTGATAGCGGTGTCTCATCCACACCTTGTACTTGCGCGTGGCTCCCTGCGACCCTGCCGGTGTGGTTGGCCCACGGTGAGGTCCACACAGGAGACTCACTGCCTGAGACGGTGAACCCGCCTTACCCTGCCCCCATCACCTTCAGCTCAGCCTGACCAGGGGAACAAGCACTAACCTGTCACCACAGCTCCAGACCCAGAGTGGACCCAGCCATCCCCTGGGCACTGCCAATGGGGAGGTCAGCTCCCGTCCAAGGAATGCCCCCAAGCTCCTGGGGACAGAAGCCCATCTGTTCCCCCTACCCCAGAAATCAAATGTCCCAGGGACTGGCACAGATTCCCAACCCCAAGTGAAACTTTTTCTAAAAAAAAAAAAAGTTCGCTAGATAATGCACGTGCTTGTCTGAGAACAAAAGAAAAAGCGCCTGCCCATGGGGAATGGCTGCCTGCAACCCCATCTCCTCCACTCCCCCCTCCTTTCGGGATTCTGGGCAGGCACACTGCGCCCTGCGAGCTTTTCAGCCCGTGGGCAGTCGGCCACGTGGACCCAGCCGCCCCAACCACCGCCGGCCCAGGTTGGCCTAAGGAGCATCAGGGGCCGCACGCGGCACGTGGCCCTTCACCTCTCGGTACACCGGCTGCGGGGCAGCCCTCCCAGCCCCTTCGGGAGCGGACCCGGCCCTGCGGGCTGCGCGCCCCGCGCGCGGCTCACCGGCCATGACCGCGTCCTCGGGGGGCAGCGGGCCCACGAACAGCTCTCCCCGCTCCAGCAAGGCCCCCCACAGCCGGCTGCACGTGCGCACCGCTTCCTGGGTCTCCTCCGGGTCCTCGGACTGCGGGCAGAGGCCGGCGCCGTGAGCGCGCCCGCCCCGGCCCCCGGCCCC